AAAGGAATAGGGAAATACTATTATTTTTTAAAAGAATAAACGTGCCTGGTCTTTCCTCCTGAATCACATGCTCATCATTCAGAACCAAACAGGATAGCAGAGCTCTGATCAGGAGCCACCCCTATGTGCCACAGTGCTTCATGTCATGTCTATTTCAGTAGATCTGTTAACTAACAGCAAGGGTGGAGTTTTTTGTTTTAGTTTTTTTTTTTATGAATTTATTTATGTATTTATCTTTGGCTGAGTTGGGTCTTCGTTGCTGTGCGCGGGCTTTCTCTAGTTGTGGCGAGCGCGGGCTACTCTTCATTGCAGTGCGTGGGCTTCTCATTGTGGTGGCTTCTCTTGTTGCGGAGCACGGGCTCTAGGGGTGCGGGCTTCAGTAGTTGTGGCGTGCGGGCTTCAGTAGTTGAGGCTCATGGGCTCTAGAGCACAGGCTCAGCAGTTGTGGCACACGGGCTTAGTTGCTCCACGGCATGTGGGATATTCCCGGACCAGGGCTCGAACCCGTGTCCCCTGCATTGGTAGGCGGATTCTTAACCACTGCGCCACCAGGGAAGCCCAAGAGTGGAGTTTTTAATCAATTGTTCCTAAAAAGCACTTAGTCTACAAAACCAGAACATGATACATCAAATTCCTTTAAATTACCTGTGTTTATTGCCTTTTCCTCCTATCCTGATTTATTAATAAATACAATTATAATAAGCTGCTCTTTAATAGCCCATTGGTATGGTAATAATTTAGCCTTGCCCAATCATCTCTAATAAAACTTATTTTGAAGTGGCTTCTTTTTAGCAAAGATTGCTAACCCACTCTGGTTTTTCTTACTAGTGAATGTGCTGGTCAACTATTAAACAACGAAGCAGAAGCTCCTTAGGGTAATGCCTAGTGAGTCAGAAAGAAGCAAGAAAGTACAGCAAGAAGGTGAGATGCACACAAAAGCCCTGTCTCAGCTTTCCTGAACTCAGTCCAGAGGTTTCCTTCTTAAGCTAGGAAGGATTTTTCCAAGACGAGATGATACACATGTCTTAATAGCACGGGAAATGTACCTAGTACCTAAGACAAAAAGGAGGTCAAAGAAAACTAGGATGAACTCTATATAATAATGTCTGGGTTAACTATCCTGCATTCCTTTTTTCTTTCACTGTGGTAGCACACACATAATTAAAAATTTACCATCTTAACCATTTTTAAGTGTACAGTTTAGTAGTGTTAAGTATATGTACATTGTTGTGCAACTAACCCCCAGAACGTTTTCATCCTGCAAAACTGAAACCCTATACCCTTTAAACAGCAACTCCCTCTATGCTGCATTCTTGACTAAACAATCCAAGAGAGGGTCCCTCCTTTCTCTCACAAGCCTCTAGTCAAATTTTGCCCATAACCTTAATGATTTAGCCATTTGAAAATCTCATCCTACTAAACAGTCTTTAGAACTCAGGCTTCTGGGTGACCAGAACTCCCTGCATAACTCTGGGATTCGTATATGCCAGCTTTCGTCAGGTAATAATTAAAGCTACCAATGGTCTGTGCCCATGCTGAGCTATGGTCTAGGCTTGATAAGTGAAGTATTAAAATGTCTGTAAATGGGTTTCCCTGGTGGCGCAGTGGTTGAGAGTCCGCCTGCCGATGCAGGGGATGCGGGTTCGTGCCCCGGTCTGGGAAGATCCCACATGCCACGGAGCGGCTGGGCCCGTGAGCCATGGCCACTGAGCCTGCGCGTCTGGAGCCTGTGCTCTGCAATGGGAGAGGCCACAGCAGTGAGAGGCCAGCGTACCACAAAAAAAAAAAAAAGTCTGTAAATGGTTTGCTCTCCATTCCTTTAATCCTGAGATGCTATACCTCTGTTCTTCCTGCTTTCGACAAGTTTCTCAAGTAGATCAAGAAGACAAAATATACTTTGTCTTAGAGATTTAAAAGTGGGCAACCTTGTCGTCATTCCATTTCCCACGGAAGGCCAAACAACATGTCTCTCAACTCAAAAAGATACGGTAAGAGGAGGAAATGATGGGAAGGCTCGGGGCCAGGGTGGAAAGTCTTTCTTCCTTTTTCCAAAAGTGACTTTAACACAACTGCTTCTGGGCGTCAACAGATATGAAGTGACGAACACAGAACTTAACAAATGTCTGCAACTTTGTCACTGGTGCCCTGGAAGGACACGGGCGATAACTCAAACTCAAAATATTTCAGAGTTTTGCAAGGCATTTCAGTTAGCCATGTACTGCTCTCGACATCAGGATCCTTACATGGAAAGATTCTTTCCTGGCTCTTTCAAGTTGAAGTATAATCAAAAGAAACCATGGGGCTTCCCTGGCGGCGCAGTGGTTGAGAGTCCGCCAGGTCCAGGAAGATCCCACATGCCGCGGAGCGGCTGGGCCCGTGAGCCATGGCCGCTGAGCCTGCGCGTCCGGAGCCTGTGCTCCGCAACGGGAGAGGCCACAGCAGTGAGAGGCCCGCGTACCGCAAAAAAAAAAAGAACCCATGGTTGTCAAAGCACTTTGTAAGACTAAACAGATGAGAGGGATTACAACCAGGGAAGCAAATGGGTTCATCATTAAAGATGCTCTGGCCAGGAAATCAGGAGATGGAGCGTCAAGATGCAAATCAACCACTGCCTGGCTGAGGCACCTTGGGTACGTCACCTGCCATCCAGGATTGCTCGTTTGTGAAATAGTGACTAAACTCCCTCCTTGCCTGCCTCACAGCTTTGTGTGGAGGAGCAATACACCGGGTGTCAGTGGAGCAGTCACATGGGGAGTATACATTAGCTAGGGTGCCGTTATGCTCTATGCGGTCTAACTACCCACAGACTTGCTCAAGTCTGAAGCATTGCTCAACTTTGCAGATGTCCTTCTGGGCTGCTTCACAATAAATTTACAAGTGCTTCTTTTCACAAATGCGTTAGAAGACCTGTTGATTGAAAGGCAGAGTAGGAATTTTTATTGTTTCATTTTTTTAAAGAAAAATCTTAATTTTAATAATTTAATTTTAAAACGAAACCTACAAATGCTAATACTATACTTCTTACGTTTCCCTCCTGTTTCTTCCTTTATATGTCTTTAAACCTTTTCCTCTCTGCCCTCTTTCCAACTCAGAAAACGCACAAATCTCACTCATTTCTACTTAAAGTAAACCAGCCAAAAAGATAACTTTCGATTTTGTTTTCTCTCCTGAACTTCTCCCACTCCTTCTCTTCATAGGCAAAAGCTTCAAAAAAGAGTTGACTCTCACTTTCCCTACTTCCCCTCCTCCCATTCATCTTCCACTGCAGCCTGGCAAGGAACCCTCTAAGCTAAACGTCTATGATGACCTAACTACAAAATACAAAGGACGCTTTCCAGCCTTTATCCACGTAGACCTCTTTGCAACACCTGGCTCTGCTGACCTCATTCCAGAACTCACCCCTCCCCAACCCCTTGCCCACCTTGCAGCTACCATCTCATTTAATCGTCCTGTCCCTCAAACCTCCATAGCTCTGCATGAAATCATTCCATTAGCTGCTCCTTCAATGTCTGTGTTCATGGGGCTTCCTTCCTTCACTCTCTTCTCATTTGTTTTGCTCTCTCTTGGAAAGAGCACGTACAGTTCATGCCTTCAAAACTACACATATGCTGAAAATTCCCAGTCTACCGATACAGCCCAGAGCTCTCTCTGAATGCTATGCCCTTAATTTATCACTGCTTTCAGTAATATTTTTTAAATTTATTTTATCCCAGCTTTCAAACTCAGCATTATATAAATGTTGATGCAGTGGTTACCTAGGAAACTATCAGATCAGTTAGAGGACAACTATGAGGGAGGAATACATATTTCTGAAGATAGCTCAGATTTCCATGAGCAGAGACATATGAAATTAAAAAGTAATGTGGAAAATAAACGCCTTCAGATCCTGAGAAGTTATTTTCAACTTCATCTCCATTCCTCAATCCTTATAAATATTGCACCGCTTCCTTATATTGTGAGGGTTGAGTCCTAAGACAAACCGCCAAGCCCATGAGTATTGTGAACATACTCAAAAGTAGCTGAAATTTCAAATGCAAAATCTAAAATGCCGAAGACGTGCTGTATAAAGTTTAATAAACCCGTAAGGATAAATGGAAAGCACTTTTTCATGGTATAAAATAAAGCTTTAACAAAGTTGCCTTAATAACCGAGAAAGGAACAACTTACATATTCAAAAAGTGACAACTGGCTAAAATAATTCTAAAATGGGCGTAAAGGAACAGTACTTAGCAATCAAATATGATATTATAAAACACATTCAGTGGAAAGGAAAAATGTCACGATGTATTATGCTTTGAAGTGGGTTACCAAAGAGTAAAATTAATATGATCCCAATTTAGAAAAAAAATTAATATCCCTATATATGAAGAGAAAAAGAAAGAATACACACCCAAAAAACAGTTATGGTGATGGTAATACATATTTTATCTCTCCTTTGTGCTTTTGTATATTTCCTGAATTTTCTACGACAAGCGCTTCTTAAATGCACTTTTAGGCCAAAGTTACAAGATGAATACAATTAGAAAAATAATCACAATACAATGTTCAATGAAAAAGGTATGGCTACATCTATATCAAGGAGCACATGCCTAGAGAAAAGACTGGAATGAAATATACCAAAATTCTAACAGTGCTCATAATTCTTCTTTCCTCCATCTTCCCCGATGCTTGGCAATATGGTTACATTATTTCATAATAAAATAAATGGTTAAAATTTTAAAAGATAAAAAAAGGCTCAAGAGGGAGTTGTACCCCAGGAGTTGAATTTGGTTTTGTTTCTGCTTTTATGCAACAGGGTGACCTACTCACTAAATCCCTTAGGAGCTCCGAGACTCCTTCCCTAATTTGTAAAATGGGCACTTATACCTGCCCAGGCCTCTCTCCACCCTACACATTAGTAAAACACAAAGCCCTATCTAACATCAACACTGCAATTTACCCAAGGGTTGGACTCCTCTCCCCAGTCCCCCAGGAACACCCGCACCCCCCCCTTTCCTGACCTTTTCACATTAGATGTTCGGTGCTGTCCGGATGCCTGTTTTGTATCAAACGATGAGAAGTGTTGGCTGCTTGTTGCCATATCTACACGAGAAGGCCTGTTAATAAAAAGGCAGTGAGGTTGTTACTTCTTTGTCTTACAGGAAAAGTCTACATAGATTAAAGAATACAACACAAGTCCTTCAATTATTTATATTATCTCACTTCCATTTCTTATCAGTTTTGAAAATCAAATAGCAGAATCCACTCAGTTACATGGTGAATATTCCTGAAATACAGCCCCAATAAAATAAACTTATTTTTCTTTATATTCCAGTACACAAAAAAGAAATTAATGAAATCACTCCCCAAAACTCTCCACCCAAAGATAACATTGTAGCTTGTATATATCCTTCCAAATCTTTTCCCAAGTAAATCTATCTATCTATCTGTCTATATTTTTCTTAATTGAAATGGAATATTACCGTAGGGGAGGAAAAAGTTTTTGTCAACCCTCTTAGGGTCCCTGGCTGGGTCTGGAAATTAAACTGACAAAGACAGATGAACAAGAGAAAAGCACACAAAGTTAATTGAATGGTTACGTGTACGTGAGAGCCTTCATAGGACAATAAAGACCCAAAGAAGTGAGCAGAGCAGAAATCTTTTATACCTTTCTGACAAAGAAACAATACATTTGTCAAGAATTGGAAAAACAAATGGTGAAGGCCTAGGGGTAAATGGTGAAGGAATAACTTGGAATAAATAAGGGTTAATTTAACAAGATTTGTCTGCAGACTCTGAGCTGTACGAGTCTGTCTCCAGTAAAAACAGAATTTATGTCCCACCTTTAGGCAGAAAGAGGGAACTTTTTCAGTGTTTACTGCTTCTTGATTGCCTTCAGCTCAAAATGATTTTTATGTCAAAGAGGCATACGTATTTTGGGATAACATATTCTGGTTTCCTTTATTATATGCTTACTTTATCCTGAATCTTTTCTTCTCAACAAATACAGAGTTGCTCTATCATAGCTAGTGTCCACATAGCAGTCTGCTGAATAGAGGTAACATAATTTGTTACCTATCCCTCATTTTGAGGCATGCTAATTGCTCCCAGTGTTTGGCAATTATCAATACAAACAATACTGCAATAAGCCCCTTTACTCACTTGCCTGATTATTTCCTAAGGATAAATTCTGGAGTGAAAGGGCAAGTATTTTGTAAAATATCTCATGTTTTAAAAACTGCCTTGTTTCCCATTATATATTTATACCACAGAATGCTGAGGTAACATACAGGAGCTAGAGACCAATCTGGTTTGCAGAATCTTAGGTCACATTTTGACCTAGATCTACCGCAGAGACACAAGCAGAGGCAAGCCTACTGCAGAGAAGGAAACTTCCATAGAGCTTAAGAATAAGCCCTGCCCTGTATATAACAGAATTGTCAACCTTCCATTGACGATTCACCTTAACTGTCCACAGCCATAGAGAAGAGAGGAAAGGGTTATTGACCATCCCTTTAGGAAAGCTTCTTTTTTTAAAAATTCTAAGATGTCAATGCCCTTATTGTACATTAAGTGGAGTATGATTATATTCTACCTTCAGACTTCCCAATACCCAGTAATATTTTATATTCAACATTCATCTTTTCTTGAACATGTCAAGTTTCCTAAATTTCATATACCAGGTTAGAGGAAAATCAAGGTTCTTTTCACAAGGGTGGTTGGTTGTGGGTGATGGGAGAAAAGAAAACGCCACGGTTAAGTGGAAATGTAGCTTGAAGGCATGTTATTTTCTATCACAAGAACTTCTTACCAGGAGAATGGAGGAAGCCCTAAGCACTTAGGTAAACCAGACTCCAGGGTACTGACTGACATCTCAGTTTACAAGCAGGGAAAGAGGAATAAGATAGATTCAAAGGGCTGTCTAGCCTTTCGGACCATTCTTGCCTATCTGTTCCCTTACAGATTCATTTATAAGGGCTAGAAAAATATGTTCTCTGAAATGTATATAAAAATGTCCCCATTTCTCATTTGCCTTATATTTAATTTTAAAATTCTCCCCAATATTGAAATTTTTATATAATCAAAATTAATCATTTCCCTTTAATATTTCTGATTTTGAGGGCACACTTAGGAAAACCTCCCCTCCACAAAGATTATATAACATAATTTTACCATGATGCTTATTTTTTTTAATATTTAATGTGTTGATCCATTTATAATTTGAGTATATGGTACAAGATAGTGCTGTGCATTTTTCTTAATCTTTTGCTATTTTTCCCAAGATAATTTTTAAAAACCTGTATCTTTACCCCAATGATTTGACATACCATATATATAAAACAGTAAATTAATTAAGTTCTGCTAAAACCAAGTCTGTTGTGTCAGGTAACTGTTGCATGTTTCAAAGCTACAATTATAGCATCTTTACCAGGCAGAAAACACTTAAATTTAGCAGAACTTAGTAATTATTAATAAAACAATACTAGATATTTTTTCATTTTTCTGGGGTACAAAAGTTTAGTTTTTTATGCTTTTATATACATGTACATTAAGTCCCAGAAATTCTACAGTATTTTAAAATTCAAATTAGTATCACAATAAGTACATCATGCTACAAACTGATTTTTTTATTCAGTTTTTTTTATAGACCTAATTCATTCACTTACTAGATAGTAAACTACTATCTAGTATTTTATCAAGAACCTATTTTCCCCTTTTTTATGAGAAATGCTTAAATACATAGAGAAAATAATTTAACACACAAGTATATCTAGAATCCACTTTTGTGTACAGTGTGATCTAAATTTAATTGTTTCCCCTATGGATAGGCAATTATCTCAACAGCAATGAATAACTCATCCTTCAGCTACTCAGTAGCTTTGAAATAAGATTAAAAAAAAAAGATTGCATGCCCACTCAATGCCATCTTGGAGCATTGTCTAACAGGCCCACCCAAGGAATATTTCATTCTATAAGGGATATATCCTTGTTTGACTTGCTATTTTCTATTGATTAAGGTCTATATTCTATAAAATAATATGTTAACTTGCAGATTTTTTTGGTCTAGTACATATGCAAATAATTTGGTACGGTTATGGTTTTATTGCCTTGTAGGAGATTAACCAGTTTTGTATATAACAAATCTTATTCGAACATTTTTTCTTCAATTCCCCAAATGCTCTTGGAACAGTTTCACCATCTTGATGATTTCCTCATTGATAAGTAAATGTTTGACATGCGTTCACGCTAAAATTATCACACTCCAACATAATGAATGATGCTGTTATCTCTAACCCAGGGCAGGTTTCCATACATGTACAGGGCAGTTTCAGGCACTCTTCGGATCCATTCACTTATTTGCCTCTGTCTGCACCATTCACACAACTTTCATTAGCCTGGCTTTATTAGATCCTATATGACAATGGGCAAGCCCTCTACTTTATTAAATGCTCTTTGGGGGAGGGGGGGTGTCTGGGACTGCTATTGCAACTTCATTCTTATTTACAAGTTTTAGAATCAGTTATTGTAAAGTTCCAAGAAAAGTCCTGCTGAGGTTTTGAGTGGGACTTCATTACATTTTCAGAGATTTTGCAGAGAACTGTAAACTTTACAATATTATATTTTCCACATCTATACACATTTATTCAGGTCTTCTCTTACTTCCTTCAATAAAGGAAGGAAATATACATAAAACACTGCACTGAGGTACGTGTACCCTTGCAAAGACGCCATGCTAGATGTTCCTTATATTGCTTTAGTTTTAGAATGTGTACCACCAAAGCAAGCACAGTTAGTAAAATTTTAACTGAAAAAAATGACTTGTCTGTTCCACTTCTGAGCATAACCTAGACGTTAAACTCAAATGTCAGGAAAAAAATGTATTTTTAGCTAGAGAAAACTATTGTTATTGGGTTTATAGAGGCTAAGAAAAACAGTACCTCGTATTTCATTTACAGGTATAGGTATGCTAGAAAATGTGTCCTTATTTTGCCCTGATTTCACTTCTTCAATTTCTGTACGTTTTTAAACAGCTTTACTGATACATTATTCACAGACCATACAATTCACTCACTTAAATTATACAATGTTTTTTAATATTCATAGATAGTATGTCACTTTCACCACAATCTAATTTTACATCTTGTCACCCAAAAGATACTCTATATCCATCCACCAGCAATTGCTTCGCGTGTCCCTCCACCTCTAGCCCTAAGAAACCACTAATTTACTTCCTGTATGTACAGATTTGCCTATTCTTGATGTTTTATATTAATGAAATTATATAATATGTGGTCTTTCGTGACTGGTTTTTTTCACTTAGCATAATGTTTTCAAGAGTCATTTGAGCTGTTGCATGTATCAATACTTCATTCCTTTTTACTGCCAAATAATAATCCATTGCATAGATATAACACACTTCATTTGTCATTTCATTAGTTTATGGGTATATGGGTTATTTCCACTTTTTGGCTATTATGAATAATGCTGCTATTAATATTCATGTACAAGTTCTTGTGTGGACATTTACTTCATTTCTCTTGGTATATAACTAGGAGTGGAATTGCCGAATCCTATGGTAACTCTATGTTTGACATTTTGAAGAGCTGCCAGACCATTTTCCAAAGTGACTGTGTGATTTTACATTCCCACCAGTAATGTATGAAAGTTTCAGTTTCTCCACATCTCGGACAACACGTGTTACTGTCCATCTTCGGGGGTGTGATGGTATCTTATTGTGGTTTTGATTTGCATTTGTCTAATGACTGGTACTGAGTATCTGCTTAGCTACATATTAACCATTTGTATGTCTTCTTTGGAAAAATGCCTGTTCAGGTTCTTTGGCCATTTTTTAATTGGGTTACTTGCCTTTTTATTATCGAGTTTCATACCGCTCTAATTTTTAATCACTAGGTAGAACTATTCTCAGATGAAAAGCTTACAGCTTCATTTTTTATACTTTTTCTCTCATTCAAATCATAGTTAGCAGAATCAATTCAAATTTAATTTCCCCCAATAAATCTGATACAATGAGCTATGTTCCTGCATGATGAAATACAAGCTAACCCATTTAAAAAGAAAAAAATAAAATTTCAAAAATTAATAAAAAGACACTTAA